CATGCTTTGGGCATGTGTCAGGAGAGAACAGGCTCTGGGAAAGTACCTCGTTCTGGGTGAAGGAGAACGAAGAGGAAGCTCCCTGCGGAGGTGAACGGGCACAGTGACGGCAACAGTTGTGGGGCTCAGACAGCAGCGGTGAGAAGGGCTCACAATGCGTCAACATCAACTTGGCGGCACCGACCAACAATAACATCATAGCTAAGTCAGACCTTCCACTAGCTTAATGCTGTTCGACATTTTTATTTTTAAGCTCGTTGTGGAAAATGTGAAGCACATATAAAAGCAGAGAACTAGAATAATCTCTCATCTCCTATGTATTCCTCATGTAGTTTCAACAAGTTTCAACTCACGGCCAATTTTGTATGATCTATACCCACCCCACTCCTTGCCTCTATGCCAACAAATTTCAGTCATCCCAATCCGTAAAATTTCAGTATAGCTAAAAGATATGGGCATTAAAAGTATTATCATATACACAAGCCCACAATTCTTAGTATCCAATATGTAGTCTGTGTTCAAATGTAATAATTTTGACAATTTGTTTCAAACAAGGATCCAGATAAAGGTCATCAATTGCAATTGGTAAATGCAACATGAATGATGCCTGAAAGTGAAGGGGGGGAAAAGCCAAACAGTTTGCATCAAACTGCACACGCAAGAATAGATAATGTTTAAGGAGAGTTGGTTATATTCACTACAAGCATTGTCAAAGTTTCAAACTGGAGGTCCCATGTACCACGACTGCCATGAGCAACCGTCATGCCACGCTAGAACTGGCCCATCACTGCTGTGCCTCACACATTCATCTGTGATGCCTTCCTGGGCAACGGAACTTCTCCATTTATACTTCTGATGCATAGATGATTGTGGGCCTCTACTACCTAGCTGAGGAGACCAGGACTGAGCACCAAGAGCACCCTACCTGTAGGCTAATGAGGCTGACTAGGCACAAAAAAGTTGTTTGGCCAATCAAATTTTATATAGTAAATTAAATGTTATAACAACTGAGCAAATAGAGAAGTCAGTATCTTATTGCTTGGAATAAGTAAAAAATCCCACTTCCCTGATACTGAACAGTTTTGATTACATCAACACAGTCTATTATTCTGTTCCTCTTTGTCCTGCTGTAGACTTACTTCCCCTGACCCTAACCACCCAGCGCTATGTCAGACCTCTCAAGGCCCGGCCACAATCCTCCAGACTGCCAGGTCTGCTTAGGGCTTCGGACTCCAGCTGGAAGTTTGGGAGTACCTCATGACACCCTCACTTCTGACCTGCTGGTTATTCATCTAGGGTTTCCCTCTAACCAATCAAGATACTAGCTGTAAGCTCACGGTTTCCCAGAGCCCCACTGAAATCTCCCCTAATTCCTACTATTGAGCTTGAAAATATGCCTGAATGTTACAACACTCATGGAAAGCACGAGGTAAGATGATCATTTTATTAGAGGAAAAATGACACCAATGAAAAGACGGATCAGGAGGGTTCTAAAGATTCCCGACAGGAAGCTTCCTGGGTCTCCCTGTCACCACTGGATGGTCTTACGGCCCTGGCCAACCCCTCCCTGAGTCATCTCTTCGTCATACTCTCTAGAGCGTGTGATCTAGCAATCTCATCAAAGGCACCAGGGTGGTAGAGGTTCTCAGAACCAATTCCAGGTGCTTTGGGTAAAGTTAAGTAACCTTTTTCTTTAGCCCACAGTAGAGTAGAGAGAAAAGAATGGAATCGATTGGAGCCCAAAGCAGCTATGTGGAGATCCTGTGCAGCTGGCCTGCGGGCGCGGGTTAGAGGAGTAGCTCATTCCAGAGCAGCCGCCTGCTTTCTCCTTCCAAGCCCTGGAGAGCCCAGCATGGAACTTCCTTTCCCCGAGGGACACTGAGCTTCTAGTCCTTGCAGCCAAGGCCCAAACGGAAAGGTGTCAATCATTTTAATACTTTCTCCTGCTATATGAAAGTAAAACGCTCCTAAGAAGACTTTCGTAAGCCAACGTGACAAAGTGAAAAAGTAAAGACCAGTAATTTATATTGGAAAAAACGTCCAGTGTTCCCAGAGGGTCGGGGAAAACTACCAAAACCATGGAGACCTGAGATAACACACGCGGTGTTCATAGACATAGTTCCCTGCTGTGGCGGCCTGCTGCTCCCTTGCGGAGTGTAGCTCCTAGGGAAGGAGTTGGGCGCCGCTGCTCTCCCTGGTCCTGGTGCACACCGCCTCTTTAAAGGCGCCATTGCCATTGCAAAAGCAACGCTCAACACGCGTTTCACTTTCCACCCTTTTTTCCCCCATAAAAGCAAAAATTATCTTCGGATTTCTATTGGTATGGAAAACAGGTACTCGTGTGAGTCTAGGAGCCCTGTTGATGTAGTGGTTCCATGTTGGGCTGCTAATGGCAAGGTCAGCAGTTTGAAACCACCAACTGCTGCAGGAGAAAGGACGTTCTGCTCCCAGCAAGGGTTACAGTCTTGGAAACCCACAAGGGCAGTGCTACCCCGTCTCACAGGGTTGTTACAAGTCTGAGTTAACTGGGCAGAGAGAATGTAGGTCTTTAATGTAAGTGAAGGTGGCGCAAAGGAACTTTTGAAAAATCAGTTACCTGTGTGTCAATACAGGTATAAACCTGTATTTATATATCTATAAACCATTCCAAATCAAACCAGAATTTTGGGCATTGGGCGGTGACACAGCATCATCTCCACAAGTGAAAATTGATTATATTACTCGTTCAAGGAAGTAGGGGGTTCTAATTTGGTAGGTGGGGGTTATCTTTTGCTACAGAAGTGGTTCTAGCGTGGCTGCACTTTAAAAATAATCTCTGACATTAGTTTCTAGAGTTTGGATGTGGTGATTTTGGAATTCTTACTGTCAGATCTAACGTCGATTGAGAACCATTTTCTTACAGGTTAGCCTGTATGTTTTCCTCGTGAGTCCGAACAGTCCCAAATTCCAGTTATCTTAAGGATCCTTTCTCCTAAAATGAGAGCTTGTCATCTGAGAACTTTGTTTTCTTCCTTTAAAAATGTTACTGCGCTAGGTCGTGAATGGTTTGGGGATGCTCGATTACACTCAGCCTTCAGTGAGAGGCGCCCTGCGGCCGGCTCTATTCATGGTGACCCTATGTACAGTACGAGGAGATGCTGTCCAGTCCTGGGGCACTGTAACGATTGTTTGTGTGTTCGAGCCTGCTGCGGCCACCGTGCCAACCTGCTTCACTGAAGGTCTTCCTCTTGTTTGCTGATCCTCCACTAAGCAAGATGTCATTCTCCAGGTACTGATCTCCCCTGATATAGCTCGTCCAAAGTATACATGATGAAGTCTTACCATCCCTGCTTTTAAGGAACATCAGATTATACTTTTTCCAGCACAGATGGTTTGTTCTGTTGGCCAAACCAAAAACAAACAAACAAATAAAAAAAAACTCACTGCCATCAAATAAATTCTGACTCACTGCAACCCTATGGACAGAGCAGAACTGCCCCTCTGGGTTTCCCAGCATGCTCTCCTGGAGTGGTTGGTGGGTTCAAACTGCTGACCTCATGGTTTCCAGGCCAATGGTTAACCACTGCACTTTGCCACCAGGACTCCTGTTGTACTGGCACTCCATCGTATAGTTAGTTGTCTTCACCAACACATAATTCAAAGGCACCGATTCTTTAGTCTTCCTTGGTCATTATCTAGCTTTCGCATGCATATGGGACAGCTGAAAATAGCAATAGGGTGGCTTGCATTAGGTGCATCTTAGTCTTCAAAGTGACATCTTTGCATTTTAATACTTTTTTGCAAGAGAATTTTTACAGATTTGCCCAATGCAATATGTCATTTGGTTTCCTGACTTCTACTTCCATGGACATTGATTGTGGATCCAATCAAAATTAAATCCTTGACGACATCAATCTTTTCTCTGTTTATTGTAATATTGCTTATTTGGTCCAATTGTGAGGATTTCTTATTACTATTTTAATGCTGAGAAGTAAGCTGTATTGAAGGCTGTCGTCTTTGACCTTCCTCAGTGAATGCTTCATGGCCTCTTTCAGCAAGGTTGTGTCATCTGTATATCAAAGGCTGTTCGTCTTCCTCAAATCCGGATGTATCTATCCTTCTTTATGTAGTTCAGTTTCTCAGCAGACAGACTGAATAAGCGTGGTGAGAGGGTACAACTCGGATGTGCACCTTTCCTGCTTTTAAACGGTGCAGTATCCTCCCCATCTGCTCCGGTCACTAGCTCTTGGTCTATGGGCAGGTTCTAGATGAGCCTTCAATACAGGAATAATCGGCGACATGTGAATTATGTAAACATAAGGCCGAAAGCAGTAATTTCACTTCATCTTGTTCTAGTTATTTAAATTTAACAAGTTGTATACACGACAGGGTAGATTTACCACTTCATTTTGTGGAAAGCATTCATCGCTTATGCTGTCTTATTTTTATACAGAAGATTCACAAACCTTTTGCTATACACTGCGAAGAGCATCGCTTTGTTGAAGCAGCAACTAGACAATCACGGAACCCACCACTCATGACCGAGAATAAACTCTGCATCTAGTGCAGCTACAAAGGATACTTAAATTTAAAAACCCGGGTGGGGATGGCTCCGAATACGGTTGCTCCAGGGGGCCCCTCTTTTTCCTTAATTGCCTGACTGCACTCGCCCTCCGGTGCCTCCAACGTCACGGGTCCCGGTGGCTGGGTTCGCGGTCGAGCACCGGTAGCCACGCCTCCAGCCATTCCGTACGGAAACATGGCGCCCCCCTGCGGGAGACAGGTGGCGCTCGCGCCGAGCAGCCGCCCGCTGCGTTCTAGCAGTAAGCCGGGGCCAGCGTCTCCCGCTTGCCGTACGACAAGATGGCGCCGCCCTGTGGGAGGCGGGTACCGCCTAGCTCCCAGCGGCCTGCCCCCTTCCGACGCTGAGCGGCGGCCGCCGTGACTGGCCCACCGCAGGCGGGAGGGGTGGACGGCCAGCGGCGCAGCGAGCGATGAGGCCCTGCAGGGACCGACGCTGAACCGCCCCTGCCCGCCGAGCAGCGCCCCCCGGCCCCGCCGCGGCGCCGGCCCCCGCCCGAGTCCCGGCGGCATCTGCGAGAAGGAGAGCGTCCGCTCGGCGGCTGGTGAGAGACGCGGGCGTCGCCGGCAGCGCTGCCCGCGGGCCCCCGCACGGGAGGGAGCGCGGTCCAAGTCGCCGGCACGTGCTCCGCTCTGGCCGACGGGCCGGGGGTCCCGGGGTGGAGAGAGGCGGAGGCCGGGCCGGCCGGCGGGCGGAGGCTCTGGGCAGCCTGTGCCCCACCCCCGGGCCGCCCGCTGGGCGCCCCCAGCCCCCGTGCTTGCTCCGGGCCTTGCCACTCGCTCACCAGCCCAGTGTTTACAACGGACTCCGTTTGCTGGGCAGAGTGACGCCCAGTGCCCAAGGGAGGGGTTCCCAGGGTCGCTGGGCAGAGCCTTTCGCGCAGGGTCCTTTCACCTGGGGAGTCTCTCGTGCTCCGTGTGCAGCTCAGAGGATGACCTGCGCGACAAGTGCGAGGACCCTCCTACCCGCCGAGGCTCCTGCCCCTTTTTAAGCACCGTTGGTGGTGGTGGTGGTGAATTAAGTGCCTGCGCTGTAAGCAGTGAACCCTACCACCCGCAGTTACCATGTGTGGAGCATCTTGTCGTGTCCCCCCCTCGGCTGCACTGGCTGGGACCAACGCCCATCCTGCCAGTACACTGACATCACAGAGATGACACAGGGATTCATCTGGAGCAACAAGCAGTGGCCATCTGCTTGGGCATCTTATACTTAACGGAGCATTAGTTGAACTTAAGGGGAGGGTGTGGTTGACCCTGCCCCTTGCGTTCAAAACAACGTGAAGAGATGAAAAAAGGAAAGAGAAGAGGGCAAACTAACAGTTTTGTGATCTGCACACTCACCACCACCCACCACCCCCAACCCTCCCAACCAACTTTCCAAATGCCTTTACCCATTTTCATGTGCTTTTAAGCTCATGTCCTTTGAACAGGTGCCCTCCTTCTCCCCTCTCCTGCTCCCCATTTTTCAGTTGGGCAGAATTATACTTCTGCCTTGAAGCTCACATACCCCTTTCTGGGAAATATCACCCGACCTCCTCCCAGACGAAATTAGTTTCTCCCACAGCTGTAGTCCTTCGGTAAATTTCACACGGCCTCCACGGCTTGTTCCATTGTAGCTCTTGGTGAGCATGTCTGCCTCTTGTTCTAGATAGTACCTTTCCATCTTTCTCTCCTGTTTAAATAAACATGGAATCGAATGTAACGCTGGATGCTGGCTGTTCAGGAGTTCAGAGAAAAGAGCAAAACCTGGTCAGGTGGGCCAAGTGTCCTGGGAGAAAGATGGGGCTAAAAAGATGGCATTGATTTACTAAGCTGACAATTAGAGACCTGGACATTCCTGCCTTTCCTCCTCCTGCACAGAATGAGTTCCTTCCCCATTTTAGGGTTCATTCTTACCACGTGAAGGGGATAAAATTAGAAATGCCTTTGGTTTTTTCCTTGGATTTTGGAGCATTTCCAGAGGGTGATAGGATTTAGGACAGAGGAGATGGGTGTCGAGAGAAGGGTGTGGAGTGTCCTGTGGGACCACATCTTTCATATTAATAACATGGTCTGAAATTTTGAATTCTAGTAACTTCATTCAATTTAACTGGGGTCTCAGATTTCAGATAATTATGTCAAATGATTCTTCTCTCTCTGTGTACAGAAAAGAATCTACCACACCTCCATAAAGAAGTTGACATTTCTTTTGATCCCTTGATTACCTTCAAGGTAAGTAATAAAGCCTAATTAGTGTTTATGAAAATGTTTTGGGATCTTTGAGTGCTAGTGCCACAAATGCTAATTATTTTCAGTATTATAAATGAAAGCACATTATGTCTTTCTTCTCCCTTAGTTAGAAACACTAATGGAATAGAGATACCTAAGAGGGGAAAAAAATAGCCCACTTTCATAGTAATAGCTACTATTCCAGGCCATTATTAACTGCCCCATGCCAAAGTATCAAGTGTTATTCCTGTTCTAACCAGCAAGTCGAGTCCCTGGGTAGTACATCCGATGGATGTGGTGGCCTACTAATGGATGGGTTGGAGATGCAAATTTGCCCTGAGATCCTAGGAAGAAAGACCTGGCCCCATCTAGTTATAAGGAGTGGAGGATGGGGCCACTGAATCGGCCACTAAAACCTCCATGGAACAAATTCTACTTTGGTGCTCTTTGAGTAACCATGAATCAGAATTGACTTGAGGGCCACTGGTATCAGCAACTACAGTATATATATATATATATATATTTTTTTCTTTTTTAACTAGTCTTCTGTCACATACATTATGGTTATCTGCAACTTCCTATTTTACGCAGCATTTTTATCCTGCTGATTAGCAAGTAAGTAATATACATTCTTCTTAGCCACGCTTTAAGATTCTGTGTCCTGTCTGTCTCATGGTATCTCATCCACATGGTAGTACCAGAGAACCAACTTCTCAGCATATGTGTTATTCACTGACTGTAAGCCTGACTGAAAGCATTATTTTCAAGGTTTTTTCCTACTTGCTCTCAGGAATCAAAGTAAAAAATTCAAGATTGAATCATACGTTCTGATGAAAGGAGAAGCAGGCAGTTGGCATTATGGCAGTTGTAGAGCTTGTGCTCTTGTGACAAGGGGACCCAGGAAAGGAACAAGAATATTCATACTTGTTGCTCTCTATCTGAGGCACAAGTCTATAAATTTGATAAATTCAAGTGTCACTTTACAAGTGCTTGTTTAATTATTGAAGTAGAATAGTATAGCCAGATAAGATCTTTGCAAGTCATTTACTTTATAGATGTGAAAACTGAACCCAAAGAGATGAAGTGATATGTTTGAGGTCATACTGCTAGGGAGAGAAAGAATTGGAACTCTTGTGGTTCATTTCTTTTTCTTTTCTTTCCTAGGAAAGTGAATACACTTGAGAATGTCTGAAAACCGTGACAAGTCTAACACAAACGAAGCAGGAAAGTCCAATGATTCTGAGCAAGGCCTTGAAAACGCTGTGGAGGTTTCTGAGGAAGCGTTACAGAAAAGCGGACCGGCGGGCTCTCCGAGCCCCCGAAGACTCCAGAGACCTCACTGTAAGCACCCTTGACTGGTTACCAGAAGCGCTGTCTTCTGTGTTCTTTTTGTTAGGCTTCCTACTTCTGGTGGCCCTGAGCTGGGTTTTAATAAAATTATAGCATTGGCAATAATTAGCTTTTAAAACCTACAGTTTCTCATCTGGCACTTGTGGTTTTTCAGTTGCATGAGAAATGAACGGTTAGAATAATCTCTGGAATGTACCCATTCTTCTCCTTCAGTGACGTCACCTGCCTGTTTCTCGGAGATGCTCGGAGAAATTGCAGGGTGGCATGCCAATTGAGGCCAAAGAGTTTGTGAAGTCTGAGGCCAATTCCCAGTCAGGACTTTGCTTGTGCAGGTGAATGGGGTGGGGGAGCAAAGTTTTGGGTTATGAGTGAGTTCACCACAGCCTACCTTCACTGCCTGAGGGCTTAGTTCCCACACATTTGAGGGTGCTCTGTTTGCTAATGTAATTTCAGAGCCTTAGGGAGCAATGAAAGCCTGGCAGTGTCTAGTCTTCCCAGCAGTTGCCCCAACTCATGTCTTTGATTAGGACTATTTGAGTCTTTTGAAAGGAATCCAAAAATGAAAGTTTTAATAGGGAGTGTCATAGTCTAAGAATGCCAGTATTGATATTTATCTCTTTAAAGTGTGGATGACCAGTAATTCTGCATATTTGGAAGAAGTACAGACATTTTGGGGTTTTGAGGTGTGTTTCTTCTAAAACCATCAAAGCGCTTCCCAGGTAGTTTATTAACCAGTGTAGCATTCTTTCAACAAGCATTAGTGGACCTCATTTTATCATAGGCTATTATCACAGAGATTTTGATAAATGTGCTAGTAGGTCAAATTGTACCTGTAGAAACATGCTGCTAATAACGTAGTGTATATTGTACATGTTAGGCCTTGTCTCCAATGTATATTCTTAAGCTTCTGTTTTCTCATCTTTAACATGAAGAAAAGCTGTTTGCCAGCTTCCCAAAGGGCATGTTCAACTTAATGTGATTTTCATTTTCCCTGACAGGACAGTGGTGCATAAACACTGTAAAAGAATTTAATAACAGTGTTACTTTTATGCTGCATAGTAAAATAAACCCTAGGGTAAAATATATGTAATTGTACTGTTTTATATATTTATTTATTTTTTAAATGGCTCTTATTACAACTCAAAGAAAACAAGAAGTCCACTGTCATTGAATCTCTGTGGACTCATCGTGACCCTATAGGTCAGGGTAGAACTGCTCCTGCAAGTTTTCAGGCCTATTTACAAGAGCAGAAAGTCCCATCTGTCCCCCCACGGGGCAACTGGCAGTCTATGGCCCAACCCATAGACAATAAGCCACCAGGGCTCCTCATTGTAACTCTAGTTTTCTTCAAAAGTTAGGTGAAGTCTATTGTGTTCATGAGGTTGCTCATGAACAATTTGACCTTGCTCTGCTATTGCTTGCTGTTGAGCTAGTTTCAACTCACGGCAGGGCCGTGTGTTACAGGTTAGCCCGGGTCAGTAGGGCTTGGGGTTGAAGTGTTTACAGAAGGCGATCACGAAGCTTTTCCTTCTGTGGTACCACTGTATGCCTTTAGTTATGACGTGGGTCCCCAAGAGAGCTTTGCATCTTTCTGTTGGTGAATGGTGACTTGTCTGTTTTCATTCACAGTGACCACATGTGTCCGAGTGGAGCTGTTCGCTAAGTAATCTCTAACTTGAGCAGGTCACGAAAACATCTTCCTTTTGGTTATCTGTTGTCCTCACCACTTGGTTCAAGCTATTTGACCCCAAGACCAGTCACATTATCTTACTTTGCATCTGGAGAAGCAGTGGCTTTGGGAGACGTCCGGGACTGGTCCACGGTTATGTTAACAGATGGAGCCAAATTTCTTCCTGACTTGCTTTGTCTGCTGTGCTTCGTGATTAGGCAGCGTACAATGTCTATTTGTCACTAACCAGATGCCTAACACTGTTGAGAAAAAATTTATTGAGAGAACTGTGTATGCTTTTATTATTTTGATAAATCTAAGGTCATCAGATAGTGTCTTTCATCTAAACCAAAATCAGAACAAAACTTGGAAGCTCTGGTGATAGCTCTGAATTTCTTTCAAAGAGATGAGAACTTGATGGGATTTCCTAGTTCTTGGTCCTTGATACACCTACGGTGGAAATTGTTTTTTGATGTATGACTACAGAATATATTCGTTACACATAGCTATATTTACCAAACTTCTACTGAGTACTACAGGTTTTTAAAATCCACTCCACTAAGACATAACTGATGTGTAACAAAATCCATCCACTTTAAGTATATAATTTGATGAGCTTTGACAAATAGGGGGATTCGGGATGTTTCTGGGTCCACCTCATGATCTTTTATCATGATCATCACCTTGAGAATGCCCTCTGCCCTCAGCAATGAGCCTGCCCCCATCACACCCCGCGGCAGCTACTGGTCTCCTTTCTGTCACGATGGTTTGTATGATTTCACAGAACCAAAATCATGTTGTATCCTTGAATGTGATCTTTCGTGTCTTAACATCTCTTTTTACTTTGGATAGTGATTTTGAGATTTGTCTCTGATTTTGCGTTTATCCGTAATTAGTCTTATACATATCTTTGGAGAGATGTCTGCCTGAAGCATTATTTTATTGGGTGGTTTATGTTCCATCAATGTGTTATAGGAGTTTTTAAGACAAGCCTTTTTAACTTAGAGAATGTTTTGCAAATATTTTCTCCTGTCCTATGGTGACGCTTTTAATTTCCCCAGCAGAATCTTCCACAGAATAAAGGCTTTAAATGTTGATAAAATTCAATTTATCAGCTTTTTAAAATAGTTTATGCTTTTTGTGGCTAAGACATTTTTGTCTTACTCATAAAGATTTTCATCTGTTTTTTCTGAAAGTTTTGTAGCTTTGGCTCTTAAACGTAGGTTTACATCTATTCAGAATTAATTTTTGTTTATTGTGTGAGGTGCATCTAGGTCAGAGGTCCACTTGCATAGATTTTAGGGGGAGGGGGGCATCCTTGCTTGTTTAATTGAACTTTCCTCATGCCAAAAATTCACAGCCTTATGGTGGTTTACATGAGTCTTGAAATCGTTTAGTATAAATTTGTCAACTTTGTTCTTTTTCAAAATTAGTTTCACTTTTCTGGGTACTTTGCATTTCCATATAAATTTTAGAATTAGTTTGTCACTTTCAACAAAAAAATGCTAGGATTTTTATTGGGATTGCATTTAATCTGTAGATCCGTTTGGAAAACTGAGATCTTTAACAATATTGAGAATTAAAAGATATACCTGGGCTTTGATTTTGGATATTGTCTTTTGCCAGTGTTCATGAAGCAATTTTTATTTATTCCATGTTGTTATTAATATTCTCTGGAAATATTGAGGCGAATTTAATATTTCCCAACATCCCCTTTTGTGACCAAATAAGGATTTTTACCAGACTGGTTTGACCAACTCTTAGATTTGGTCTTCTTCTTCTTTTTTTTTGGTGAGCAAAAGGGAAGAGTGGAAGAAGAAAAATAGCGTTTCATGAATGCAAGAAGATCCAATTGCCTTTTTTCTTTTTTGCTATTACAAAAGTTTAACAACAAAATTTTACATGAAAAATGTTCACAGTCTCATTTTTACACTGTAGTAAAACAAGTCCTTTGGAGAGGGGGCATGTGGAAGCATTTCATGTCTGTGTGGAACAGAGCCATTAGTTATACTCGCTCCAAAGCTTCAAACACGGTGATACTATTGCCTCTTATTACCACCATTCCGATATGGTTCTGTTGTCTGCTAGTTGCCATCTCCCCACATCTATCACAAGATTCATAGAGGGATCATCCCCAAAGTAGCCCTGGGACATGCCTGCCACCATTTAATTTCAGTGATAACTTCTGGTCCATAATTTTTTTCAACTCGGGTGAATGAGCTTTGCTCATTGTGCTTTCTCTGAAGGGTCAGTGCTGCCTCGCAACAGAATTTGTAGCTTCCCTCCTGCTCCCGAGGTCAGCCGATGTCCTCCAGTTATGTTTATAACTACTAAGTCCTGTGTAAACCAGATTATGAGCTGACTTATCTCGTTTTATACCCAGATTTTAATCCTCATCGCCCACAATTAGTACCCTCACCTAATAGACTAATGCTTCTTAAAACATATGTCCTGGCACCGGCCACATCCACATCACTTGGATACTTGTTAGAAATACCAATTATTGGGCCACATCCTAGACCAGCTCAGTCCGAAACCCTGGGAATGGGTCCCAGCAATCTGTTTTAAGAAAGTCCCCCTGAATTTGATAGAGGTCAGAGTTTGAGAACCACTATCATAGACTTTTAAAAGTGAGAATTACCCTCTGTTCCTTAGCTCAGTACATGAGGGAGAGTTACATGAGTAAACTATTCATGTACAAGCTTTATCAAAAGAGAGGTATAGAGGGTGCATAAGCAAATGTGGCGAAGAAAGCTGATGGTACCCGGCTATCAAAAAGTATAGCATCTGGGGTCTTAAAGTCTTGAAGGTAATCAAGCGGCCATCAAGCTCAGAAGCAACAAAGCCCACATGGAAGAAGCACACCAGCCTGTGCAACCACGAGGTGTCGAAGGGATCAGGTGTAAGGCATCATCAGAACAAAAAATCTTACCATCGTGAATGATGGGGGCGGGGAGTGTGGAGTGGAGACTGAAAGCCCATTAGTAGGCCACTGGAGATCCCCTTGCAGAGGGGTCTCAGGGAGATGAGCCAGTCAGGGTGCGATGTAACAACAATGAAAAATACAACTTTCCTCTAGTTCCTAAATGTTTCCTCCCCGCTCCCACTACCATGACTCAAATTCGACCTTGCGAGTCTGGCTAGACCAGAGGATGTACACTGGTACAGATAGGAACTGAAAATACAGGGAATCCAGGGCGGATGAGCCCTACAGGACCAGTGGTATGAGTGGCAAAACAGGAAGGGTAGAGGGAGAGTGGGTAGGAAAGAGGGAACCGATTACAAGGAACTATATGTGACCTCCTCCCTGGGGGATGGACAACAGAAAAGTGGGTGAAGGGAGATGTCGGACAGGGCAAGATATGACAAAATACCAATTTATAAACTATCAAGGGCTCATGAGGGAGAGGGAGCGGGGAGGGAGGGGGAAAATGAGGACCTAATGTCGGGGGTTTAAGTTGAGAGAAAATGTTTTGAGAATGATGTACAAATGCGCTTTACACAATTGATGTGTGTATGGATTGCGATAACAGTTGTATGAGCCCCTAATAAAATGTTTAAAAAAAGAAAGAAAGTTCAACAGAAGTTGGAAAACATAAAAAAAAAAAGAGGTAATAGAGACTAATTATGAAGCAGTGGACCACAGAAGTAAAATACAAAGGACTTGGCTAGCTGGGCATTGGAAAGAGAACAATCAAAGATGACCTCTGGGGTTTTTGACTCAGTGGGGCTGCTGCATTCTATACACCTCAAACCTCACTCTCCCCTAAGCCCTAGGCAGTACCGAACTTAAATTCTTTCTCAGTAGGCTGTATAGAATGGAAGTTATAACATCGTTTAAGCAGCACCTGGCACCTACAGAGCCACTGTGTTTTAACTTGGGGAGATTATGTGATAGAACAGCGTTAGTGATGGTACAAAATATAAACTGCTGATGGAGACAAGGAGGAAGACCTCAAATCTGGTGCCTGCTTTATATTCTACGGTAAGCTGTAGGCAAAGATATTAGAAAGCCAGCTCTAAGTTTATTGGGGAAATGATAGCAACTTAAAGAAGAAGAAAAAAAGTCAAGCTCCAATTTACTGTAATCATTTCCCATGGACTAGTCATAGTGAAAAACCAAACCGACCTGTTTTGAGTGCTGTAAATTAACTTCTGTTTTGGGGCTTCTAGATTAAAAAGAAAAACACTGAGTATGGAATAGGTAACTACTATTGTGGTTTGGGGGTTGCCAGGGCGTAACTGGAATGCTTGGCTGGAACCAGAATCATTCCCTTCTCTGTAGACATGTAAGATAAAGAGCAAGTATCTGACGTTGGGTTTTGTTGCAGCTAGTCCGCCTCGATTTGTGACAGTCGAAGAGCTCTTGGAGACAGCCAAAGGAGTCACTAACATGGCCCTCGCCCACGAGATTGTAGTAAATGGCGACTTTCGGATTAAACCAGTTGAGTTACCAGAAGACAGGTAAATGGAGTTGCCTGGTTTCATCAAAGAACGCTTGTCATTTCCCAGCCTGGAAATATTTCCTTCAGTTGATGCCAATGTATTTCTACTTTTTGAACATCATTCCTGCAAAACATTCTGATACAGTGCCAGGAATTCCTAGGTGGTGAAGGTAGATCTCAGGCTCACCGCTCCTTTGAAATGGAAAGAAAAGGTCTAGACAGCCTGCCTGGCATCTTCTTCCTGCGGCACGGTTGAGAGCCTCCTTTTGGGTTTTTGCGCAGCGGTTCCCTCATTCCCTTTGCAGCGCCCACTTGCACGGCCGTGGTCGGTCACGTGCTGGCTCCAGCAGGTTGGAAGCTCCAGGGAGGTTGGCCTGTGCTGTGTGCTCCGCGTCTCTAGGGTCTGGCACATACTGTATTTCATTGATTCTAAAATCCGTATTGACTGTGAGGGACATGTGTTTAAAATATATTCTCAGAATAAAAGGGGAAAAATGGCCCATTGTAATTGTAAAAATGCCATCAATTTCAAGAAAGCTTTAAGTTTCAAAGATGCTAAAATGGCAGGAGGTGTAGTGGGGGTGGTTTTAGAAACAATGGAATATGGTGTAGCTGCCCTTTGAGCAGTTCACCGTGGCAAGTCTGGGTCAGTGCATCTGTGACCTGCTTGTGCTGGCTCAGCCATGCTCCTGGGTGCAGAGTGGCTCCCTCACAGCAAACATCCCATCATACACCAGCATTCTAGGCACGAAGGAAAAGGGTGGATGGAGAGGCCTCTCTTTTTATTAGGGAAGAACATCTTCCCCCCGAAGGTACCCAGGAGACTTCTGCTGCTTTTTGTAGTTACAGCTGGGCCAGCTGTCAGAGTCGAGCCTGAAAAACTTGACCCTGCCCACGGGGAACAGAAGTGCCAGGGTGGCTTAGATTCATCATGACTTCTTCTCGAAGCCAGGCCTTTGCTCTGATGAGAACGTTAGGGTCCTGCCAGCAGAGAAAAAGGAGGAATGGCTGCGCGGTTGGCAAGCGAGGGTCTCTCCCCGAGGAGGCTTCTCTCTCGATAGGACTTCACAGATGTTTTTATATTTGTCCACACACAGTATTTGCTTTTTCACATTAGCACTGAAAGTTTAATTTGCTCGCATTAAAGAAAGATGGGTTTTAATGAGATGTTATTTAGAAGATGTAGTTTGGTACCTGATTAAGGAATTATCATCCAAAATATCATACATGAATAGAATATTTTGAGAAAATAAAGTCCTTCAACCTGTATACATACTCAGCTGTTCCTTCTTTTTTGTGTCATTTATTATTTATGCATGTATGGAGTATTAATTATTTTATTAGGGGGCTCTTACAAATCTTATGACAATCCATCATTCAGTTGTGTTAAGCACACTTGTACATATATTGCCATCAACATTTCCAAAACATTTTCTTTCTACTTGAGCCCTTGGTATCAGCTCCTCCTTTTCCCCCTCCCTCCCCGCTCCTCCACCCTCTTGAATCCTTGGTCAATTTATATATTATTATTGTTATTTTGTGTCTTACACTATCTCTTGCCTCCCTTCACCCACATTTCTGTTATTTGTCTCCCTCGGGGGTGGGGTGGGGGTGGGGGAGGAGAGATGTTCTCTTAAACTATTTTCCATCAATACCAGAAGGAAGTTGCTGCTGTGAGGACTGAGGAACAATTCTGACAACATGAAATTGGTACTTTTGGAAGCGTTTTGAGGCTCAAATATCTTGAATGTTGCCCTTTCTCGGCCCGCCTCCCCCCCTCCCCCCCATGTACCTTCAGCTTGGAGAAGAGAGTGAAAGAAATTGTACACAAAGCCTTTTGGGATTGTTTGAGTGCCCAGCTAAGTGAAGACCCTCCAGCATATGACCATGCCATCAGACTGGTCGGAGAGATTAAAGAGGTGAGGTGAAGCAGCTCTTCCTCAGAGCCCATAATGAGGCTCTTCTGATGTTTTAGGACATTTATTCACCCCTCTCTGTGTTGTTCTGTCAGAGACTTGACAGAAATTGCAAAATCAAGATGTTAAATTTCTTTTGAAAACGTGGATTTAAGACTATCTTTGGCTTAGTACCTTTGTACCTTGCTATTTTCTCTTTCTCTCTCTCTCAGTAAACCATGATAACCATGTAGATCAGGGGTGTCAAACTGGGGTGTCAAACTGGTGGCACATGGGCTTCATGTGGCCCCCGAGGTAATTTTTTGTAGCCTGCAGTGCTCTGAAATAAAATGAAAATAGAAAAAAATTGTCATGAAGAAAATAGTGCTTAGGGGAGATCGAAGCAATACCATACACATTAACTCATTAACCTTTTAACTACTGAAGATTCCCTCGTTAACCCTTTAACTACTGAAGATGAGTATACACATGCTCCAGTGTCTTTCCCGGAGGCCTGTGGACGTGTATAAACGCACTCTGTTCTGGGGACAGTTGGAAGCGATATGTCTGCCACTCTCAGTGGCACGTAACGTAAACAGATCCCAATAGCAGAAAGGTTAAAAAGAGCACTCTGGGTTGTGCTGTTATGAATCATACCTAGCGGCAGCGCTAGCTAACATTTTAGAGGGAAGCCATTACGATTGTGCATCACGTTTATCAGCTGTCCAACATTTTGTGTTTTTTATTAGGTACTTTGTTATATTTTCCAGTCACAACATAGTGCCTCTTTCTACTAGTGCAAACTAGTAGAAAGAAAGCGCTGGCAAGTTTCCGGGTAAAAAAGAATAATTTTAGTTTTATAAATACGTTAAAAGAAATGTTTAAATAAAAGCAGTTATATAGTGTTTTAATGATCCTATCCATATTCCTGAATCCTCACTTTAAAATATAAATTTAACAAAATTTGTAAATGTGATGTGACCCACGTGAATCTTGTCTGTTGTACCAAATGGTCTGTGTTTTAATTGAGTTTGACACCCCTGATGTAGATGAAGGGGGCAGGGAATCATGCTTTTAAGAATAGAATTATTTAAATAAGATGAAACTATATAAAAGCTAAGTGATTTATAAATTACTTAATAATTGCATGTAAGAGGTTTGAACATACTCTATTCGTAATGGCTGAACAGTTACTTAGTGTGGGTGAGACATGCAGCCCTCGCGGCAGTGTTCTCAGCAGTAGCTGCAGCGAAATGTCTCCGTGGCAGTTCCACTTGTGGTCGGCTCCCGGGCTCTTATTAATAAGTGGGTTTTGCACTTTTCACCTTGAACAATTTACTCTGTTTGTACAGTTGGTTACTATGCTGAGCTTAAATGGAAGGAAACTTAACTAGCTACTTTGATCTGCAAGCATCTGTTTTCTTAAGCTTGCAGTAGCAATTGTGATGTCCTTATTTCAAGAGCTGTAAAATTCTTTCTATAAAATAAAAAATGATGTCTGACTCAGTAATGTTGATTAAACTTAATTATGTTCTCTTGTAGACGCTCTTATCTTTCTTGCTGCCTGGTCACACTAGACTGAGAAACCAGATAACCGAAGTCTTGGATCTGGACCTGATCAAGCAGGAAGCAGAGAATGGGGCCCTAGACATTACAAAGCTGGCAGAATTCATCATTGGTATGATGGGGACTCTGTGTGCACCTGCCAGAGATGAGGAAGTTAAGAAACTAAAGGACATTAAGGAAATAGTGCCTCTTTTCAGGTGAGTAATTATGCTAATCACATGGACAGATTGCTGTTGCCTTGATTCCAACGGATAGCAACACCGTGGGACAAAGTAGGCCTGCCACGTAGGCTATCGTCCTGTGCAGTGACTGGGAGGTTTGAACCACTGACCTTCACAGTTAGTAGCTGACCACCTCATTAGTAGCACTTCTTTAATCACATCCAGTTCACTTGAAATGCAAAGCTTATTGTCAGGTTTGGACTTCCGGGTATCTAAGTGCTCATACATTAAAGCAAAACAAAAGTGAGACCAGGGGGGTACGAGAGCATCCATATAGAATACTTATGGTGAGAGGATATAACTCCAACACACGCCTTTGCTGATTTTAAACTATGCAGTATTCCTCTGTTCTGTTCACACAACTGACTTTTGATCCATATACAAATTCCACATGGTACAATTAAGTGTTCTGGAATTCCCAGTCTTCTCAAAGCTACTCATGGTTTATTGTGATGCACACAGTTGAATGCCTTGGCATAGTCAATGGAGCACAAGTGAACATCTTGCTGGTGTTCTCTGTGTCAGCAGAAATCCATCTGACATCAGCAGCAATATCCCTGGTTCCATGTCCTCTTCTGAACCTGGCCTGAACCTCTGGCAGCTTTCTGTCCATGTACTGCTTCAACCGTTCTTAAATGATGCTCAGCTCTTCCAACCTGAAGGACTCATCTTCTGGCACTACCTCTGATAATAATATGCTTCCCTTCATTAGGGTTTCAGTAACTGACAATGTTTGGACTCTGTTCCTAAGGTTATCTGTAGCTAATTACTCAGAAGTGGTCACCCTGTTCCTTCTTCGAAGTCTGTTCTTGGTATAGAAGCTCTGCTGAAACCTGTTTACTTTGGGTGACTCTACTGATAGGTGAAATACCAGTGACATAGCATTTAACATCACAGAAACACACAAGCCACCACAGTATGACAAACTGAAGTTAAGGAAGTTAACAAGTTGTAATACCAGTAAGCAATGCTCAGGGTTGAGTTGTTTATTAGGACATAGTACAGCGTCCTTTCAGTCTGCTGATAAATGCTCAGAGGCCTCTCTGCTGCTCCAGGCCTCCTGCATGAAAGCACTCAGCTCCACATGCTCTGTGAGAAGTCCTTCACTCTGCAGCTCTGGCTTTCGTTCTGCGGCTGCCCCTCTGATGGGATAGCTGTATTCTGGATCCAGGAGGTTCACTGCCCAGGGATCTTGGGTCCAGAGGACTCGCTCCACTCTTGACTCTGGGTGGGAATGAAATTCCTCTTCCTGCTTTTCACGGGGCTCATTTTATACACACCAGTATGATACTTTAGGGCATCCTGTTCACAGTTAATCACAGGTGAATCCTGTCAGTGTCTTCCCCCACGTTCTTACCAGACCCATGGAGGGAAAGGTCAGAGTTAGAGACTTTGACTCGAAGAGCCACAGTCAATAATTCACTGCCCTTGTGATGTTCAAGTATTACTTCCAGGCCGTGGGCAGATTCCCTTGCTCCCTATACATCATAGGTTCCCAAACTGACCTCCTTTCATCAAAAAGCCACTCAATGCCCCCTGGCTAATTAACGACTTTGTGTTTCAGCTTATAACTCACGATAAAGTGTAGGTATCTGCTTGTGCAACCCCCGGGTTGGTTCCAGCACCTGCAGTGGGGGTGGGTGGGTGGTATTATTTACTTTGGGAAATAGTGCCCTAGATGGGTTTAGGGAGTTGTTGGAAATACCCTCTCTGGACAGTCAGAATGCCCTCCGGGAGAAGAGGACTGGGCCGTGTAGTTAGGAAATAGAAAGCTGGGGGAAGGACTCAGGATTTGGAGACGGATTTAATTATCCCTCAGACAGTGTATCATTTCCCACACATAAGTACTGCCACATGTCGCCCAGCTAGTCTCAGGGCTTCAGGGGACAGGCGAGGGCATTTGATCCTGTTCTCTCTGTGTAGGCCACACCTAAACCTGTGTCTTGGGGTCTTAACGACCTCCTACAAGTAGGCACTCGGCGGCTCTCCACGTGTGGCAAGTGATGAGGGCATATGAGAGACAGCAGAGAGACAGCACTGAAGGGAACTTGGCATTCAGTGAGATCCGCCCCGGCGCCTTCAGAGTCTGAAGTAGCAATTATACCTTCAGAACCAATGCATACAGCATGCCTTAAAACCAAGATGATGCGGGGACAGGAGAAGAAGAGAATTGACTTTCTCTTTCTTGGCAACGTGAATTCGCATGTTTACGTGGAGAGACCTCGTGATGAGCGCTGCGCCTCGCATTTGCGGCTCTCTCCTTCCTGAGTCTGCACAAGGGCCCATTCAGGCCCAGGGACCGAGTGACGAACCAGAGGCAGTGGGGGAACTGTCTGCGTGGGGGTTACAGGGAGGTCTGTGGAAGAACAAACAGAGCTGGAAAATGGACACCTTTCAAACATTTAGATATTTTTGTATTCCAAATTTGTTTTTCTTAGTATGTTCCTCATGATCTTTTTTTTTTACTTCTTTTGCTATCTTTTCTGAGATGGAAAACTTTCTAACAAAACAGTTCTCTTAAAAAAAGTTTATTTGCCATATAATTCATATAGCATACGGTTCACTAGTTCAGTCATATTAAGTCCATGGTAGAACACCAGCTCACTCTTTGCCTTTTAGGACTGAACCTATTTCCCAGGCGCCCTATTGACTGTTGGCCCCTCTGCTTCTCTCAGGGCCATCTTCTCTGCGTTAGACCTCATGAAAGTGGACATGGCCAACTTTGCTGTCAGCAGCATTCGGCCGCACCTCATGCAGCAGTCTGTCGAATATGAAAGGAAGAAGTTTCAAGAACTTTTAGAGAAACAACCAAGTACGTCTAATTTTTATGGTGTGCTTTTGTTAAAAGTCTAGGGTTTTTTAAATCATTTTATTGGGGGCTCATAGAATGCTTATCACTGTCCATCCATCATCCATTGGGTCAAGCACATTTGTACATTTGTTGCCATCATCATTTTCAAAACATTTTCTTTCTACTTTAGCCTTTGGTATCAGCTACTCATTTTTTCCCTCTTCCCTTCCCCTCTATCCCTCCCTCATGAACCCTTGATAATTTATAAATTATTATTATTTTTTCTTGTCTTACACTGACCAGTGTCTCCCTTCACCCATTTTTCTGTTGTCTGCCCCCCTGGGAGGGAGTTATATGTACATCATTGTTATCGGTTCCTGCTATCGCTCTGCACCTTTCCTTTACTCTCCTGGTACATGCTCATTCACAATGATATGAGTTTTTGTTCTGAGTCTTTGATGCTTGATACCTGATCCCTTCGACACCTCATGATCATGCAGGCTGGTGTGCTTCTTCCATGTGGGCTTTGTTGATTCTCAGCTAGATGATTGCTTGTTTATCTTTAAGCCTTTAATACCCCAGACACTATATCTTTTGATAGCCAGGCACCATCAGCTTTCTTCACCAGATTTGTTTATGCACCCACTTTGTCTTCAAGCGATCATGTCTGGAATGTAAGCATCACGGAATGTCAGTTTATTAGAACAAAGTGTTCTTGCATTGAGGGAGTACTTGAGGCCCAAGGTCCATCTGCTACCTTAATAGTTGGCTGTGTTTTTTCATGTTTAGTTGCTGTAGCATGGTAGGGTAAAAAGGTTGCACAGCTAACCCCAAAATCAGTGGTTCGAACTTACCAGCAGCACCTTGGGGCAAAGATGAGGCTATCTGCTCCCATAAAGATGTATAATCACCAAACCTTAGAAAGAGTTGCTGAGTTGTAATTGACTTGATGGCAATGGGTGAGTAGCTTAAAGTATAATGTTACCTACCTTGCAAACAAAAACAAGACTTTAGTATGAGAATAATTGAACTTGAGGAATTTAAAATTAAGATGTTAAAAAACAACAACACACACACAAAACCAACTTCAGGAGTACAACTATAACTGCTAAGCCTTGAAAAGAAAACTGACCTGATAAATGTGGAAATACAAGAAGGATGTAAGAATAGAAATGAAAAGGAACAAAGAAGTACTAACCTAAACGAGTTTTTAATGAAAACACCGTTTGAGGGAAATTGCAATGTTGGTCTTAATGACAAAGACAACACATTCCTTGGGACTGACTAGTGTCATTTACTCTTCTCTTCGGGAGGCTCCTTAGAAATGTCCCTTTGCCTAGAGACACAGTGCGGGAATTGTGCCCAATCTGACCCCACCAAACCGGGGTGAAACACTAAGGGTGTGCAAGGGGAGCAAAGCAATGAAGTCCCTGGGGAATATTAAAATTGACTTTGGGGCCAGGGCATAGCACCCCATCAGACTCAACCGGAAAACACTCCTAAAGGTCAACAAACAGACCTGGAGCTATTTATAGGCGTTTCTTTTTTTGTGGCTGTCATTGTTGCTGTTTTGTTTTTTGTTTTCTTTTGTTGTTATGTTTTGCTTTGTCTTGTTTTTGTGCTCATTATTGTCACTACATGTCTATCTAGATAAGATAGGCGGGATAAACAATCCAGAGAAGAAAACAACAAACCGACGTAAGTGGGGGAAAGTAAGGGGGTGCCAACAAACCCAGGAACAAGGGAACAGCAAGTGATCTAAAATCGCTGGCAAGGAGGGCATAGGATGCCTGGTGGGGCTTGATCACGGGCAATGTAGCCAAGAGGAATTACTGAAACCCAAATGAAGGCCGAACATGATAGTGGGACAAGAGGATAGTAAAAGGAAATACAGGAAAGAACTAGGAGGCAAAAGACATTTATAGAGGTCTAAATACAGGTATGTACATATGTAAATACGTTTATATATAATGATAGGGAAACATCTATGTACATATTCTTATTTGTTAAGTAGTAAGGCAGCAGATGGAAATTGGGCCTCCACTCAAGTACTCCCTCAATGCAAGAACACTTTGTTCTAATAACCTGGCATTCTGTGATGCTCACCTTCCCTGACACAATTGCTCAAGACATATATAGTGAAAGCACATAAGCACATATAGTGAAAAAAGCTGATGGTGCCCGGCTATCAAAAGATATAGTATCTGGGGTCTTAAAGGCTTGAAGATGAACAAGTGGCCATCTAGCTGAGAAGCAACAAAGCCCATCTGGAAGAAGCACACCAGCCTGTGTGATCATGAGGTGTCGAAGGAATCAGGTATCAGGAATCAAAGACCCAAAACCAAAAAAAATCATATCGATGTGAATGAGGGGGAGGTTGGAGTGGAGACCCAAAGCCCATCTGTAGACAATTGGACATCCCCTTACAGAGGGACACAAGGAAGATACAAACCAGTCATGGTGCAGTATAGCACTGATGAGACATACAATATTCCTCTAGTTCTTTGATGCTTCCCCTCCCCACTATCATGACCCCAATTCTACCTTACAAATCCGGTTAGATCAGAGCATGTATACTGGTACAGACAAGAGCTTGAAACATGGGGAATCTAGGACAGATAAACCCCCTCAGGACCAATACTGAGAGTAGTGATACAGGAGAATGTGGGGGGGAGGGTGGGGAACCGATCACAATGATTGACATATAACCCCTCTCAGGGGGATGGGCAACAGAAAAGTGGATGAAGGGAGACATCTGTCAGTGTAAGACATGAAAACATGCCAATAACTTATGAGTTATCAAGGGATCATGATAATTTATGGGGGGGAGGGGAGGAGAAATGAGCTGATACCAAGGGCTCAAGTACAAAGAAAATGTTTTGAAAATGATGATGGCAACATATGTACAAATGTGCTTGACCCAGTGGATGGATGTATGGATTGTGATAAGAGCTGTAAGAGCCCTCAATAAAATGATTTTTAAAAAAGAAAAGGAAATTTCCCTTTGCTTTGGTTCTACAGCTATAAATCCTCTGTCATTCCACGCAGGAAAGAGTCATGTTTCCGAACTTCTCAAAGTGGCAGGAAAACCACCCTACTTGGATCGTTAGGGTTCCCTTTGGCCTGCCCTTAGAATCTCATATCCTGGGGAAATCGCAGTTTTCAGATGCAAATCATTGAGTTCCCTGTAAGCCTCCAGTTTGGCTGGTCGAGATGACAGTGGTCGTCTGAACGGTTGGTTTATACAACCCCAGACGGAGAAGACGGAGGAGCTGCTGGGCCTGGAGGAGCCCTGGAGGTGGTCCGAGGAGAATGCCAACTAAGCCCCGGCCCCAGAAGACCGAAGGGTCACTGCGTATACTCCAAACCCAGCAGGAAAGCGCTGTCCTTGAGCCCCTTCTGACACACCTGGAAGCAGGTTTTGAGACATTTTGACCCACTTTGATGGACCATGCATACAGTTCATAGTTTGAGACTTTCTATCCCACTGCCCTTTGGGAGACAGGACCGTTTTGGAAGCAGAAGAATCTCAGTGTGAGAACCAGGTAGCTAAATTCTGGGTGCTGGAGTGGAAGGGTCAGGATAGTATTTGCTCGCAGAATCAATACCAAAGTTTGCCAGCACTGGTGGGCACAGAGCGCGCTGGCCTGCAGAAGGCCAAGGGGAGCGGGAAGCCTAAGGCCAGGGATCAGAACAGAGAATGCGGTGTGGGAGCATTGGTGTGTCCTCCTCGTCTGTCAGAGGGACTCCCGCCCTGACCCCGGCGCCCGTTTGGCCCAAGGTGGCCTCCACTTGGCAGTGCCGCAGACCCTCCCCAGACTCGACGAGGCACTTTTTGCTCAAATAACAAGGACAAGTGCCTCCTTTTCTTTCTCCTCTCTCTGAGAGTCCCTAGTGCATCCCTCAGCACAGAATAGTGCACGGAGGTTGAAAGCAAATTAAAGCTCCACATGTGTGTGATGGATGCCAGGCACGTGACAGCGTTGTTTCCTGTGAGGCCAAAGTAAACCAGGTAGTAGCAACCAGACTACGATCTAGACAAGGAACAAGCCTCCCCTCAGCCTAGTGGCTGCCTTGTACGGGGAAACTCGTCCTGTCTGTCTCCAGTTTTGCCCCTTTTCAGAGTAGAGTCATCACCTTTCAGATGGAAGAGGAGACCAGCATGTGTTGACCACGTGGCCAGGCCAGGCAGTTGCTTTGTAGTCATTACCATGTTCAGCCCTTACAGCAGCCTACGAGGTAGGTGCTGTGTTTGTGCATTGCCTTAGGTTAGGAATCTGATCTTCAGAGGGATTATGACTTCCCTGAGATCACTCAGCTATTTCTATTTAATTCCAAAGTCCACACTATGTACTTTACATCACTGCCAGAAGGACCTTCCTTAAAGCCATTCTAAGAAACGTGCCTGCAGAATGTCGTAGTGATGTTTGCAGTTTATTTTTCACAGATTCCTTGGACTTTGTCACCCAGTGGCTGGAGGAAGCCGCAGATGACCTTACGACTCAGAAGTGTGAACATTCCCCACCTGCTGGGGAAGAGGCTGCTGGCTCAAGGGAGGCCCCTGGGCTGAGTCCTGTCGCCGTCCAGAATTATGCGTACCTGCAGCTTCTGAAGTGGGGCCACGGCCAAAGGCCGTTCCCTGAAGTAAGCACTCTGAGTAGTCTCACTTCTCAAATGTCTTCTGTGCCGTTGAGCTTCTGTTTAGAAAGCTTTATTAAGATACAATTCACATAAAAGGTACCCTTTTAATCTATACAGTTCAGTTATTTTTATTGTATTTGCAGAGTTGTCCAACCATCACCACTGTTGAATCCAGATATTTTCATCACTCCCCGCCAAAAAACCCCTGTCTACTAGCAGTCACTCCCTCCTCCGTACCCTGATCGGCCTCTTGTCTCTATGGATTTACCTACGGGGAACACGCTGTGTACGTGGACTCCTACCCTGTGTGACCTTTTGTGGCTGGCTCTTTTTCAGCATTCATCCATCCATGTGATAGCTTCCCAGAAACTCCGTACCGACTCGGTGCCAGCTAGCAGCACCCTGGTCAGAGTCCAGGACGCCCATAGGGTTTCCGAGGCCGTCTTCTTTCTAGCCGCAGACGCACCACGTCTTCCCCCGCTGATTGGCTGGTGGGTTTTGACAGACTACCTTTCTGTTAGCAAGGGAAAGTTCCCTCAATGTTGTAGCTTCATCAGCATTAACTTGCCTCCCTACTTATATCTGGGAAATATTCCACTGCGCAAAGCTACACTACGTCTTTCTGATCCATTCGTCGTTGGTGGACACCAGTTTTTCTTTCTTGGCCAATGCAAGCAGTACTTCCCCGATCACGCTTGTGACAGCATGTTCAGTTCTCTCGGGCGCACAGGGGGCCACGTGGTGCCTCTGTTTCACATTTTGAAGAACTGCCAAGTAGGTTCCCAAAGTGGCTGAGTGCGATCCTACCAGCCCTGTGTGCGAGCCCCGGTCTGAGCAGCCCTTGGACTTGGGCATGTCGATGGCCAGCACAGCTGCAGCGCCTGCTGCTTTTCGTTCCCTCTCTCCCTTTCCTGCCGGGGAGCCGCGCTTCCCTCCCACGTTTCCAAGGGGGATTCACGAGGGGCTGGCCTGCTTTGTCTGTCAGCACATGGCTTGGTGTAGAAAGCACCCTGTCCACCCCCCTCTTTTGAGGGCACCAAGGCTTCTTTAACCTCAATACCAGTCTCACTGAAGTGTCCTCATTTTGGTTCTTGAGAAGAGGCCCCCCCCACCCCTTTACTCTCTTGTGTGCTGGAAGAAGAAGGGCGAGCAGGAGGGACCCTGCACCTTTGCGATCACTAGCTTGGCTTTGCCGAAGCCCCCCACCCACGAAGCTGGGCTTTCCCTGGGGGCCGATGTCTCCTCCCCAGAGTTGATTCTTAGGAATCTTTTGCACTTAAGCTCAGGTCCCTGCACACTGTGGGGAGCCCCCGGTACAAGCAAGGAAGCACCCGACCTTGTAGTGAGTCCAAACCTGGCTCGCGGCCATGGAGCCGGTTCCAGTCCCAGCGCCCCGACGGGGCAGGGCTTTCCAGGCGTTGACTGCTGGTGCAAGAGCAGGCCACCTCTTCCTTTTCCTCTGGCCTAGCGGGTAGGCTTCTGCCACTGACCTGGCAGTTAGCCAGGTAATGCTGGACCCACCAAGCCCCTCCTGCCTGGCCATGAGATGGGAAAGAAAGAAAAAGCAGCTGATAAAATGATGCTTAGACAAGGGTCTCAAAAGTCTGTGAATAAATTCCATGAATTTTTATTCCATTTCCCCACTAACTCCCTGAAGCCTCCTTGTACATTTAAGCAGACTTAGCAACAACAAAGGATTCTCAATCTTCAAATACAGTATTTAGCATCTTCAGAAGAGCTCTGGGGCAAGACCCCAAGTTATGAACATTTTGGTTTGATGTCTCTATGGCTTGCAGCATGGGGGTGCTTGGAATCCTTTATTTAACCTTGAACCCTTAGGGCAGGAGCCTGATTTCCTCAGCCTTCCCGCCCCTCTCTTCTCACCCCCACACTGCCATGCTGGGACCCCGGGCTGTCTCTACGGAACTCACTGGCTACTTTCAAAAGTACCATTCCCACTCTTTGGATGCTGGATTCATGTCCCACCTCCACTACGCTGGGTGCTGATGCGGTAAATAAGTATCGTCTCTTTCAAGAAAATGTCCCCACCTTCCCTCAAATGTTCTATGTAGAATGACCCATCCTGGCCCACCTGGGACTAAAGAGGTCCCCAGGAGTGAAGATTTTCTGTTTTAAAATTGGTGCAATACCTAATAAAATCTGCCATCAGAGAAAATTGTATTAGAGCTTAAATTCTGAGCACCCTGCTTGCAAAAGGCTGTGGATGACAGTGAGAGCCCCCAATCCATTTGCAGAGTCCCCATGTGGATTAAGCCTCTGAGCACCCTGGCAAAAAGCTGTGGATGACAGTGAGAGTCCCCCTGTGGATTAAGCCTCCATTGAATTCGCTTTGACCATCGCCTAAGGGTGTGAATAGTCGCACCCTCGGGCAGAGTGCACTGGAAAGTGGGCCACTTACCTCCACCCATTGAGCAGCCCAGGGAGGGGCAGTCTTCCTTGGGGCTTCCCTGGGTGTGTCCTTGATGGGTATCACCATTTTGGGGGTTTTATAAGCGCTTCAGTCTGCCATAGTGCACCTGTCCGCCATAGCTCTGGTAATCCCACCTGTAACTAGGATGTATTGATCTGCCACCAACCTTACATTTTGTGACCGTTTTTTGACCTCCCGTACCCTCTCTAAAGTTTTGTATCTCAGCAAACGCTAGGACTCCATTAGGGTCTCATGCTAATGGTCTCCCTCGTCTGAATGATACATCTTTGTGTGTGTCTTGTCCTTGTCCTATTTAAGACTTAATAAATGTTCTCTTGAAAAAAAAATGAATGAAATTGAGAAGCATTGGGGAAAATAAACAATGAAAAAAACCAACAAACTGGTACAGTGCCAACACAGAGGAGCTGGTGAGTAGGTAGGTCCCTTGTCGCTGCCCCTCATTACCCTCTCCTTTCTATTGAATTGCTGCTGCTGCTGCTGCGAGGGGCCGTGGCATCGAGTCCACACATGTAACCACGTGTGGATTAGAGTAGAACCGTGCTCCAGAGGGTTTGAGAGGCTAGGGCCTTTCAGAAGCAGATCACCAGTTCTGTGTTCTGGCTGCCTCTGTGCATTGAACCATCAACTGTGGGGCCAGAGGTCAAATGCTTATCTCCTTATGTCATCCAGGAACTCCTGATGGTAGAACTCTTGCGAGGGTCAAGTCTGCTAGCTACTTTACATTCATTATCTTTTTCCGTCTTTAAAAGCCATCTGACGTAGGGATTCTTGTGCGTAACATTCAGAGTTGAAGAAAAGGGCATGAGGTCATGCTACTATTAAGTGATGGAGCTCTGATTCACACACACACACACCTCCCGTGCTTTACCAGCATGTTGATATGCCTGCTTCCTAAGTACGAGGGGACTCTGAGATGGACAAATCCACACAGACCTCTCTTACCACGCTGAAGTGACTCCCGAAAAATCCTGAGGGCCCGCTGTCTCCTGCTGGCCAGCTGGAGTCTTGTCCTGGGAATGACCTTTGTCTCACCTTCACCTTCACACAGACGGTGCTGATGGACCAGCCGCGCTTCCAGGAGCTCCAGCGCCAGCTGGAGCAGCTCACCATCCTGGGGGCGGTACTGCTGGTCACGTTCAGCATGGCAGGCCCCGGGGTGTTCGGCCAGGCCGACTCTGCTGAGAAACTCAAGATGGTCATCAAGATTCTGCTCATCGACATGCATCTGCCGTGAGTGGCTGTGGATTGTGGGTGAGGGTGGCTGAGAGCAGCCCGGAGGGGGCTCCCAGAAAAATCCCTGCTGTCTAACTTGTCTGCTCCCTTGATGACGAGCCAGCAGAGCTGATGCCGCTGGGCTCTGCAGTAGAATCAGCCCTGGTGCTAGCAGGGCCCTTCCAGGCTGTGGTGACTTGTTCGTGCTCAGTAACCAGTGTGACAGGACACGCTTGCGCAGATGCCTAACTGAAGTAGGGACCTCACCAACTGAAACCTGCCTAACTGTGCTTAGGACAGCCTCATATTTCCCATTCTCCTCCAATGCATCCTGAAATTACTGCTGGCCACCCACTGAATCGATTTCACTGTCATCTCCCAGTGCTTCCACACCATGCCCAGCTCCCCACGGAGAACTGGTCCTGAGTGTCAATGTAGTGCCGTACTGCTCAGCACTAACATGTGTGCTCAGGTGCAGTAACAGCCCCTGGAGTCCAGTTGTGTCAGGAGATGTGGATGGTCCATAGAATATTTTTACACGATCTAAGTAAGCATCGTATCTGCCGAGCTCCAATCCAGAGGAGTCCTGGATGGAAACGACCCTCGGACATTCCGATCGTGTGTGCTCAGGACAGCGAGGTGTGTGTCTGCGTGTCCTGCAGCCAGCAGTGGTGACTTCAGCCCGGAGGGTGTTTGCTGAGCTGAGACACTGGCTTCCCTAGGCTTACTCACCTAGCTCACCTGTGGGGAAGCTCACCGGCAGGGGGCCCCAGTGGGGTGCTGGAAGGGGCTCTCAGGCCTGGCCCCGACTAGTAGACTGCTCCGGAAAGACGGCAGTTACCAGCTCAGAACACTTCCAGGAGGAGAGTTCCCCTCAGGTGCTCTGGAGAGCCCGGGGCCCAGGGACGCAAGGTACTAATGCTGTTAACTTTCAAATTCCAGTTTGACTTAAAAGCGTTAACAGGCTGATGAGTTTTTAAAAATCGAGAAGTACAAGAGTGTCCAGTGGAAATTCTCTGGAGCCCCCAGTTCCTAGTTTCTTGTGACTTGCTGGTGCGTCAGGCTCCAGAGGGATCTGAAAATGCTCTGAAGTCTAACCCAGGCCTGCTTGAGCACCACACAGGTGTGAAGCGTTGGTCCTGCTTAGGGCCTGTGTCCTGCTTTCCCCTGAGCCCTCTTCTCCCCGAGGCCCTGTCCTGCAGAGGGGCAAGAGAAGGTTCTCCCAGTGGGGTGTGCATGGCCTGGGAGGGTGGAGGGAGGGAAGAGGAGCCCATCCTTTGTCTGCAGAACCCGTTGTCAGGCTGTTGTAATGCTCGTCAGGGCGGGATGTGTGCACCGGCCACATGTGCATTGTAGTCATCGGCTTTTTCTTCTGCGGGTTTCCCCTCCCCCCCCTCTGCTGCAGCTCCTTCCACCTGGACGATGCCCTAACTGCCATCGGGGAGAAAGTCTGCGTGGAGGTGAGCAGCTGCCTCTCCCGGTGCGGGCTCGCTCCCTTCACCACAGACAAGGAGACCGTGCTCAGGGGCCAGATCCAGGCTGTGTCCAGTCCCGACAACCCTGTTCGCAGGATCATGGGTATGTTTGTGGGGAGGCAGGCCTTCCGTGTGCTGGTAGACAGGCCCTTCCAAAGGAGGCTGGGTGCGAATGTGATGGAGAGGGAGTTCCCGCCCGCAGGGTGATCAGGTCATTGGCATTGGAGGTCATTCCACTCACCTGCCATGGGTTAGGATCTGCAGAGGCGGGCAGGCAGGGCCCATGTAGTTAAAAAACAAAACAAAACCCATTCAATATCAATGCACCTGCTGTTTTTGTGAGTCCCTGGGAAATACAAACAATTAAGCGCTTGCCTACTAGCACCAAGGTTGAGGGTTCAAATCCCTCCCAGAGGCGGCACCTAGGGAACAGGCTTGGTGGTCTGCTTGTGGAAGGGGTCAGCTTGAAAACCTTTAGGAGCAATTTAGTGCTGCCTACCAGAGGTGACCAGGAGTCTGACCAGTACCACGGCCCCTGGCATCACTCGCTGTGCTGGTGGTCAACGCCGCAAGCAGGACCCAAACAGCTGTGGGGTTGAAGCTCAAACTCTTTGAAGCCCTTTGTGTGGCTGATTTTGCAGGCGAGCGCAAGAACGTCGTAGAGGGGCTTAGAGAAAGGGTCTGGCTCGGTTGCTCCACTGTTGGACAAGTTCATAAACACCCCCGACTTCTACAGCCCCGGCATCAGAGGAGAACGCTCCTGCTTCCTCCATGTGGGCTTCGTGGGAAAGAGGGAGATCACAAACCAACAGTGCTAGAATCTCCTTTATTCTCTTTTCTTCTTTTGAACTTGTAATGCCCATTTCATTTTTTTCTGCCTCAACCAAGTCCGGGCCTAGTGGAGTTGGAGCCCTATGCAGGAGAGCTTGCTGAGCAAGAGGAGCAGGGCCCCCACCCGCCTCAGTCTCACTGTCTCCAGGGCAGAGACGAAGGAGAGTGAACGCTCCCAGGCGCAGGTGTCCGCACTTGGTCGGGGGCTGGCTCGGGAGGGTTCCCCGCAGAAGTGATGTTTACACTCAGAACCAAGGCAGCGTCACTCGTTTATCAATTGAGCCCGAAAGAGAAACAGTCATCCGCCTTCTTCTCCTTCACAGATTCCCGAATCTTGACCTTCTTAGAAACCTACCTTGCCTCAGGCCTTCAGAAGCCGTTTCCCACAATTCCTGGTGGACTGGGCCCAGTTCAGACAGAGCTGGAGGAAGTTGCTATTAAATTCGTGCGCCTGGTCAATTACAACAAGATGGTCTTCAGCCCCTACTATGATGCAATCCTCACTAAGCGCCTGGGCCCAGCCTAACCTGTGTGCGCCTGACAGCAGGTTCAGTCGCTCGGCTCAGAGTACCCAGCCCCAGCCCTGCCCCCTCCGGACATTTGTCTTGACAGCACTGTTTCCAGCCGAGGGGAGAGTGGTGTGTGCCGCTGTTGGAAAGAGGTTGAAATATGCACTGAATGCTGTTTTGTGGGGTTGCGTTCATGAGTGCAAGTGCACAAGTCAAAGCAGCTGTTTGTCATCCAGGTAACACTCAGCGTTTCCCCCATTGACCCTGTGTTAGGGTCTGCAGAGGCGGCCAGGCAGGGCACATGTAGTTAAAAGGTTACATGTTTCACTCCAAACTCCCCTGTCTCCCCAGGGGGTTGGGCACCTCTCTCCGAACATGTTCTTTCTGATAGCTTACCCTGGCAGCCTCGGCCATCTGCCCCTCTCCAACACAGACTCCCCTCCAGTCTCGGGATATTTGGAGTGTGACGGGCTGGCCAGTCGTACTGCTTCTAGTTTTTAGGGCTTTCTCTCTGCCTGATGATGAAGCGTTCTCTCCTGCATGCACGACGTTTGAACCCGGGGGTCATCATTAAGACTGACAGGGTCCAGAGAAGGGCACTTGGAGACGTAAAGAGGAAACTCAAGTGTCTGGGATTCCTACTGAAACAGTACACACGTGTTGACTGGATTAGTCTTCGGGAAAGGAGATTCCATTGTTTTCAGGTAAAAGAGCTGAGGTGAATTAATCTGTTGTAGGAGAAAGTCAATTAAAAAAAAATACTCCCCGCGCGCCCCCCCCCCCCTTCTTCTTCTTTTTTAGCAATATTTATCTAAAGAGCTACAGGGACCAGAATTCCAAATTCCTGGCCCCTCCTGTGACTGTGAAAGAGGAATTTGGGCCCAAGAGGTGATCAGTTAAAACCGAAGTTTTAACGGCCTGTGTCTTTGGCAGGGGGTGGGGAACTAGACCAGGACATTATACTGGCAGCAGAGCCATGGGGTGACTGGAGGGAGCTCCAACTGCAAGCACAGCCAGGAGGTAACGTATTGCAAGAGACCCCTGTGTTAAAGGGGCGGGGCAGGGGCATACACGCCAGCCCTGTGAGCGCTTGCAGGTGTGGGTGGTTATGTCAGGGCGAAATGCGGAGAGCCGTGCTGTGATCCTGTGCACTTGTGATCGGGAATGCACGCTGCATAACTTGGAAGCCATGTCAGAAAGGTAAGGCCAACAGCGATCCTGGGTCGGCCAGGGGAACAGGCCACCTTTCACTCACTGCCAGGAGGTGGGTTTCTGCCCCTTCGGTGTCGGGAAATGAACCTAGCGATAGACTGGCGTTTGATAGAAGACTTAAAGAACCTCTTCCAGTGCCCTTGAGAAGGCAGGCTGCTACCATAGGGCGGCTTGGGGTCTTTTTAAGGTTCTTGATGTTCCCAGTGGTTAGACAGAGGACTTGGATCTGACTAAAGGAGCTCCTGTTGAATCAGATGCAAACAGGTCAGCTATTAAAATGAATTCTAATTTTACTATGGTACAGTGACTTTGAGGAAGGTTGGGGGAGGGAGGGGAGAACTGGTGTGTCGTCTGGTCGTGTGTTACTCTGGGGCAAGAAACCAAGAACAACAGCCGCACCGTGTGTTTCATTAGGTGACTTGGGTCGGTCCTTGAGGTAGAGGTGACTGTGCAGGGCAGCATGTGGCCCGAGAAGGTCCGAGCACTCGAGGGCAGTGCTCGCCTGCCTGCCTTGAACTTTTCCCTCCTCCTCCAAGAATGAGTGAAGGAGTGTTACCCGCAAATATGCAAAATCTCAGTAACTCCTGTGACTCAGAATATCACCTCCATAAGTTCCAGATTGACCCAGTGAAGTTCAGGTTTTTGATGCCCAGGTTACAAGGAACTTCAAAACTGTCTTGGCTCCCCACTACCTTGCTGTCTGCTGGTGGAATGCTATACACATGGCAGGAGCCAAGGATGATGGTGACAAAGTTCAGAACCACAGTATTCATATTGAATTGGCTTTGAACTCATTTTCTTCCCGGAACCCCATAGGATCATTACTAAGGGCCCAGAAAGTTCATTTGGCCACTCAGGAAATGTTTATTAAGCATCTATTTATGCCTTCTCCCTCTAACTCTTACTCCAAAATGGAATAATGGCCTTTGAAGTATGTTATCGTTCATCAGAATGGAATTGGTTTGATATATTTAATACTTGCCTGATGTGACTCCACTCCCTGCCTGACAGGTGTGTAGAGATAAAGTGTCTCTTCATGAACTTGCTAAGGTGACTCTGGGGGGGTAAAACTGAGGGCCTCGGCGAGGTCGGCCATACTACCAAGCCTCTCGATGTATTTCAGTCTTAGGAATAACTGCCACTCAGTTGTTTTTTAGCAAATGTTGCTAAAAAATGTTGGGTTAAATCTGTTTATGAAACCATATAAGCAATTATAAACTTACTTCGGTAAGAACCACATGCCTGTCATGTCTGATTAAATATAATAGACAAGTGTTTTTTATCCCTGGGAAAGAAGTTCCCAAAGATTGGACATAATAGCGTATATGCGCATATATCGGCCAACACTTCTGAATGGATTCTTCTAGCGGGCCTCTTTCTGGCGAGGGGCTTTTCTCATTTCTCCAGAGCTGTAGGGTCCCTGGGAGTGGGGGAGAGGTGTTGCTCGGGAGAGGGCAGCTGCTGTGCTCGATGGCTCCAGTCTGTGTAACACCGTGCGTGTTCTCTCTTGTCTGGAGGCGGTAGAAAAATGAGCAGCTGTCAGTCAAGCAGGGCTGCAATCGCACCTCTGTTGTGTATTAGCTGGTTAAATCGGAGCCCAACACCTACAAATGAGAAGCCTCGAGTTCTCGGCTCTCTTCCACCTGGCGTACTGTGATATAGCTGACAACTAGACTGATGGCATTGTGCAAAAGGGCCTGCTGTAGAGAAAGAAGATGAGGGCTGGAGTGCTGCCTGTATAGGACAGACGGACGGACACTACACTCCCTCAGCCCTCAGTGTCTTCACCTGGTAAACGGGATCATTACTCACTCCCGCCATTATTCCTGTGAGGATTAAATGTGATAATGGATAGTAAATGCTGTGAGCATGAACAGGGCTGTCCACTGCTGTATCCGTAATAAAGGACAGCACACAGCCCTCTGTCTGCCTGTGGGTGCACATCTGTTGTAGCTTCCACCGTGGGCCACAGTGTACAAACGTGAAGAGGCCTTGTGCTGCCCCAGCTGCTTTTCCTTTCTTCATCCATCTGAACAGAAGCCGCGCTCGTGTCCCAGCTCCTGCCATCCACCTCTCCCGTGTCCAACCCTACGTTACAGGAATGTATGTGGGTCAAAGTGAACGAATGAGTGAGGGGTAGGTTATGAAAGTGACATTTAAAGTCTAGCTCTCATCTAAAAGGACCCTGGGGGCCCTAGGAGGGAAGCCTGAACTGGCGAACTGCAAGAGGAAGACCCATGAGGCTGTCTGCTCGAGCGACGACGTTCAGCCTCAGTAGCCCCTGCACAGATGGGTCACTGTGGGTTAGAACCGACTCAATGGCAGTGGTGATCTCATTTTAAGACAGGATTGAAATAAATAACCACCATGTTACTTGCAAGTGCATTTGTTAGGTTTTGAATTGTCTAAACATTTTCATGGATAATTTTAAAAATGTATAGTATTCAACATAGCTCCTGATGAGAGGTGACCTTCTCACCCAATAAACTCAGCCTGCAGTATCTTCACCGACACTGTCAGAAATGGCCAGCGTCCAAGAAGTCGGCATCAGGAACCGAAACAGCCAGAATTTTACACCTTCCTCTTTTACACCTAAGTGGGTTTCTGTCCTGCCTATCTTAAAGCAAGCTTTCTGAACCTAAGAACCAGACCTCATCTTTTTGGCCTGATTTGATGGAGTGTCATTTATTTGGTTTTGAAATCAGATGTGTCTGGAATTAGTGGCAGTAGTCAAATTTCACCTCCCTAATTTAGCCTAACCACTGAAAAAGTTTTGCTTTATCTGTACCCCAAACTTTGGGGATTTTAAAGTGCATATTCTGACATAAAAATGTAACCTAAAGTTTAGTTAACACGTTTACACCCCCCACACCCACACCCGTTTTTCTCACATTCACACCGCTTGTTTTTGAACGGGTTGTCTGGCACAAGGAGCCCTGCTAGCGTGGTGGCTGGATTACGTAGTTGAGGCCGTCAGCCACTCCAAGGGAGGCTCGGCCTCAGAAACCCTTCCTCCTCTGGTTCACAGGGTCGCTGTGAATCGGCCTCCACTCGGTGGCAGTGAGGCTGATTTTGCCCTCCTGTCCTGCCGGCAGCAAGATCTGTGGTTCAGACCCAGCAGCTGCTCCTCGAGGGAGAGATGAGGTGATCACCTCTCCTATTGATCGACAACCTTGGCGGCCCTCAGGAGCTGCTCTTTTGTGTCTCCTATAGGGTTGTTGCTATGCGCTAGACTCATCTTGAGTTGTTCTTTACCCCCTTTGCCTTAAAAGAGAAACTGGCCAGTGCGAACAGGGAAGAAAATATAATCATTGAATTGCAATCTTAATGGTTTTTCTTGACGTTCAGTCCCCAAACCTAGTAAGCTGTCACTTCGGTTGAATACACAAGATTTTTTTTTTTTTATTTAACATTTTATTAGGGGCTCATACAACTGTTATCCCAATCCATACACACATCAATTGTGTAAAGCGCATTTGTACATCGTTTCTCAAAACATTTTCT